AATTTTTTTGATCAAATATCTTAATAATTTTTAAGTGCTGATGAAATTTAATAATTAAAATTAAAATATTTATTCAAAAGAGAACTTGGGCTACTCAGGATACTAGTCCAATACCTATCCGGGGGATAATGTATAGATTGTGTTAATGTTTTTCTTTTTTTTTACATTATATAATAACCCTTAATTCATGGGTTGAGCCGAGTAGCATCACATTGGCAGCGATCAGGATTATGTTAATGTTTTGTCTTTCCCTCGAGAAGGAAGGAAAAAAAAAAAAAGGTACGACATGGGTCTTGTCTTTTGGGCCCAATCGTTGGCCCAATCGTTGAAGGCTTAACAGGTCCATTTAACCAGAAACTGGACTAGATATGAGTGTTCCTGTATACAATTCAGCCCATTGGAAAATATGCGAGTAAAAAAAAAAATACCATAGCAAACAAATTCTAACGAAATTGATTATCAATCCCTATTTGTACTTTTTCTTTAAGTTAATAAATCCTATAACAATGAGGAAAGAAAATATTTTTAGGGATGAAAATGTGAAACCATCAATTTTTTGGTATTATTTAAATATATAAAAAAAATGAAATAGTGTAATCGTAGCTGTAAAAAATAGGGTAATTTATACCATGTTTTTGTAAAGCATACAAGAGATTCATGTACTGAGCTGATCAATTAATTCATGTACTAATTAATTAATAACATGCTCTTGGATTGCAGTTGCGGCACACCACCGTTTCAACCGAGGTACGCACCGTTTCAAAACTTTGCATGAAATGGAACAATTCTTTATTAGCATTTATTATATAATCTGACCCTAAATCTTTTGCATTTATTGCGATTTTACTACACGTTATATATAGATAAAAAAAATTAAAATCAGATCTTAATTTAATAAAATCCTAGATGCTGCATTAGTAGTGGCTAGTACATGTATACATTGTATGTAAATAGATAAATTTTAGTATGGATTCTGTGCAGCATATCATTTATATTATATTTAATAAAATTACATCATTTCAATTAAACAAAATCTGATATGTAATTATTTTTAATAATTTTTTTTTTGAAATTGAGTGTCTATTTGATTTTTCATATTTTCTTTTTCTGTTATCCTTAATAATATAATTAATGTATATTTACAGTCATTTAATTTTTATTGAATAGTCTATACATGGTAATTAGGTGTTGGCCAAAAAATATATAAATGATAGTTAGATCCCAAAATTTTTAATTAATTTTCTCACAATTTTTTTTTAAATGAGTTGTGAATATCAATTCAAATGCTTACAAACATAAATCCCACTCCCAATATCTTATTTGTGATTTAAAATTTTGAATTTGCACTTGTTTGAATTAATATATGCAACTCAATTTTTAGAGAACTTTGTCACTTAACTATCATTAATTTAAAGCTTTGGGATCTAATTTTTATTCTTCCAATATTCTAAGGCTTTTTACATATAGAACGAAAAGATAAAAAATATTTATATTTAATAATTTGATGAAAGTTTTTTCAATATTAAAAACAAATTGGTATTGTGTTTAAATTGATGCCATGTCACTACGTGTAAAATATTCGGAAATATCAAATTAATATTAGTAAGGTATTGACAGCACGCATCGCTAGAATTATAAAAGTTTTTTCAATTGAACAAAAAAAGCTTTTTGAGTTATAAATTACACATAAGAAAAGAAATAAAATACGGTTAAATGACAAATTAATCTCTAAACTATATGTTTAAGAGTTTCTGAAACTTTAAAATTATTTTCAATATCATGTTTTTTAAATTTTTAAAAATATTACAATCTGAATAATATTGTTAATAAAAGTTAATTTTAATTGTTAATTGATCAAATTTTTTTGTAAAAAGTAACTCAAAAAATGACCAAGAAATTATCATAATGTCCGAAAAAATTGCAGAAAATAATCAAAAAACTTTGATGGGTCCTGTTTTTATAATTTTAAGATTATTTTTTAATCAACTAAAGCTTAAAGTTAATTTTTACAATGTCATTAGATTATATCATTTTTAAAAATTAAAAAATATTTAATAAAATAAGTTTAAGGTCACAGATGTTAATGAAGTTATAGTGCATGAGTTAATTTGCTTTTTTACCTAATAAAATATGAAGATAAAATCACTGAAATAAAAAAGTTAGTATATTTAAAAATTAATGAGAATAAATGTGTTAAGATGTGTATCTGAAACTCCCATAAAAGGCTAAAAGGGGTGGGAAATGAGAGTAAAAGACGTGTTTTTGAACAAAAAACAGGAAAAGACGTGTCTCTTCTGTTTTTTTTACCGTTCAAAATGCATGTTTCTATAATTCTCTGATTTTATTTATAAAATAGAGAGAGAATTTTTTTATTCTATTTATAAATTATTCCATTACATTTTTATTATAAATTTTTTCATTTAACCTTTATTGAATGTTAAAAAAAAATATTATTAAAATATGTATACACGACTTGAATATATAAATGGCATAAAACAGTGTTATAGTAAAAGAAAAATAAACAACAAAAGAAACATCAAGAAAATTAACAACGAAACACTGACTTTACGGCATGGAGCAGAAGCCTCTGACTAGGCAAGCCACCGGACCAAGCTAGACAAAAAAGAGAGAAGAAATGATAAATCAATTAGATTCATCGTATTAAAAAAATAAAAAAGTAACAACATGATCTGAAAAGGAAGACAGTAAAATCTAACTAGAATGAAGGACATTACTGATAGCAAGAACTAAAATTATAACAGTGATAACAAGTTTTATAGTCAATTATTATAGTTATGGTGGGGATGATCCCTGTAAATTTTTTTTGGTAAGGTTATGTGATAACAATTTCACGGTTCCAGCACTTTTTTATGTATCAATAGTTTTATTGACAAAGTTATAATAAAAAAAAACTTAAGATTAAGGGTCATTTTTATTTTTAAATTATAAATGACTTTTAATTTTAACTATAGGTTAATTATATCTTTTAACTTTAAATATTCTCTCTTTTATTACTTTAACGTTAAAAATACTTAACGTTCATTAATTATCAGTGAGTTTTACTATTTTTTTAATAATTTTTATTAAGTTAAGGATATTTTTAACTTTCAATTTCTATTTAAATGATTTGATAAAAAAATTCTATTTAAATGATCATTTTTTACTCTCAACTCAAATATTTTATAATAAATAATATAATGTGGAGCTTATTAACAGTTAACTAATAGTAAGAAAATAATAGGGCGATGAAAAAAGGAAATCTTTAAAATTAAGAGATAAAATTAACTTATAATTAAGTTTAAAGACATTTATAACTTTTTGTGCATAGTTTGGGGGCAAAAATAATTTTTAATCTAAAAATTTATAAAATTATTTTAATTATATTAAAATATATTTTAGTCTCTTATTTAAATTTCCCTAATTTTGGAGGTAAAAGGGAGGAAAGGAAGTGAAGAAATTTTTTTAAAAAAAAATTATATATAAATCTCACACAATATAATTAATTACTATAAAATTTATTGATAACAATATTTTGACTCAATTATTAATAAATCTTACAGTAATTAATTATATTATATATGATTTTAAAATAATTATTCAAAATTTTTTTTAACCAAATAAGCGGAGGGTAGTAAAATACTAAAATCCCTACACGCCATTCTAAATCCCTCCCACCAAACAGGCGAGGAGCCGTGGAAATTTAATCCACGTGAATCCTTTTGGGGTAAAAAGTGAAGAGTGTATTTTTCCCCCTTTTTTATCCTTTTTTTGGCCCCGGTCCAACAAAAGTGAAGAGATTGATTTCATGCTTTTTTCCTGACACTGACGGTAATGACTCAAGTCAACCCTTTTTTTTTTTTTTTGGAAAAGAATTATCTATATATGTATTTCTAAAAAAGCTCAAATCAGACCTCGTACTTTAATATCTACAACTGCTATGCATTTTTTAAATTAATCAGTGGCAATTCCGCACTCTTGTTTTAAAATTTTAAAAATGACAAGAAATTTAATAATAATAATATTATTATTAATATAAAAAATTAATACATGATAAAAGAGTAATAAATTATAATGGTCCTATTAATAATTTTTGAATATTGAGTCATATATTTTATTTTTATATAATATAGAAATTGATTTAAAATTTTAAAAAATGTTATAATAAAAAAATAAGTCATATCATTATGATTTACGAATATTAATTAAAGTTTGTTTTAAATTTGATGTTATATATTTATATATTACACCTTGCTACCTAGGCTACACTCTGTATAATTTTAAATTTTACTTATAAAAAAAAGCTTTATAGTGCAATAATTAAAAATAGATTCTTCTAAATTTAGCATTGACTTGAATTTGATAATTTTTAAACATGAATTAATATATACTAATAAAATTTAATCTACACGGTGCAAAATTACACAAGTGTTGGGAGATAAATTTAGTAACACCTTTACTGACTTTTTTTAAATTAGTAAAAATATTTAATCAAAATTCAAGAAAAATATTAGAACTTTTTAAAGAGATAATAAAATTTTTCAGTTTCTTAAATTGGCCTCAGTTATTAATTTAGTTCATTAAATTTAATTTTTATTGGTTTAATTTTTAATATTTAAATATCTGGCAACACTATCAAAATTTACTCACATCAATAACGAAATATTAATGATAGAAATATATATTAGTAAAAAATATAATTATTTAGGTAAAAAACATGTTCAAAAATTTTAATATCCAGAAAGAAAAAAAGAAAAGAAAAGTAAGTTTATTATAAAGAAGGAAAATCGCGTATTCTTTCTTCGGTTGACAAAAGAAAATCGCGTATTCATTCCTAGTTTCCTACACACCAAAGGAACGCGTTTAATAAATTTGGGAGGCAATAAATACAGAAACGAATGGGTATGTCCCAAGGCAGGCGATGGATAAGAATCGAACTTGAACATGAACTGATGAACATGAACTGATATATAAATATCTCTCCATTTCTCACATTCCTCAAATTTTGGTCTACCCCACCAATGCCTCCATCCTCCACTTCCTCTCTCTCGTTCTTCAAGGACACCCCAGGGTCCACTTCCCACTTATAAAGCAATAAAACCGCCATCATCCTCACTTCTGTCCCTCTCTCTTTCTTCGCATCTTCCTTCTTCTTCTTCTTCTTCTTCTTCTTCTGAGCAACTCTCAGAAACCCGCCTTGTTCTTCTTTTACATTTGACCCGTGCTGACTGCGGAAGAGGAATAAGTCCCAGTTTTTTTTGGGATCTTCTGGTGAGATTCCTTTCCCTGCTTTTGCTTTCCTGCTTGCATGCTTGCTTTTTTGCTGTTCTGTTCTGTTGTTCCGATCTGTGGGGTTCTTCTGGGGTTTATGGTTTTGGTGTTGTTTGAATTGAAGGTGATTCTGTTGTTGCTTGGTGGATCTGTATATGGGTCTTAATGATGGGTTATTGTATCTGCTGTTGATTTATGATCTAATTTACTTTTTCAACTTGCTGTCGATTGTCTGAGTGATTTGAGTTTCTCTGAGATCCTGTTTTGGGAGCCTGCTTGGAAAGTTTCTCTGGGTGTTTTGTTAATATTCTTTTATATTTTTGAAGAATTTTGGATTCCTCTCTTGGATACATCCTTTTGATGATTTGTTTGAAGAGATATTCTGGAAAATCGGTCTGAAATGTAAGTGTCGTCTCCATAAATCACCATATTAGTGGCTGTTTATGTTTTTGTTTGCAAGGTTTGCGTGTGGGGGGTTAAGATCTGTGCAATCAATTAAGTCCTGATTGCTTGATTAATGTATTGACAGGCTAAATATTTTGGATGTAGTCCTGTTAATAATTTTTCATTTTGTTTACCAGGCAATTTTAGTTTTTAATTCATATTTTACCCAATATCTAGATTTCTGCGTTAGAAATGAAGGAAGATTCTATAGATGAAAATTATATGCCTGAAACACCCTCTTCATATGGAAGCATTTGATTTTGTTTGGTTTTCCTGGGTTTAACTACAACTATTCTTTGTTTCATGTCTTTTGACAGGTGTAAAGCTTTTCAAAGTTGAGGTATTGTTGAATTTGATCTTTGTATAAAAGAAGTGCAAAAACGCTGATCTGCAAGCTTTACAGGGAAAGATGATGATGTATGAAGAGATGGGGTTCTGTGGTGATTTGGATGTGTTGCATGCTCCCCATGGGGAAGGAGATGTTGTTGCCCGGCAGGCTGAACCAGAGGTGGCTGTTGAAGATGATTACAGTGATGAAGAAACCGATGAGGACGAGCTCGAGAGGAGGATGTGGAGGTACAAGATGCGCCTGAAACGGTTGAAGGAACAAGGCAAATCCAGGGAAGGAATAGATGCAGTGAAGCAAAGGCAATCCCAAGAACAGGCAAGGAGGAAAAAGATGTCAAGGGCACAAGATGGAATCTTGAAGTACATGCTGAAGATGATGGAGGTTTGCAAGGCACAAGGCTTTGTTTATGGGATAATTCCAGAGAAGGGAAAGCCTGTGACTGGGGCATCTGACAATCTTCGTGAATGGTGGAAGGATAAAGTCAGATTTGATAGGAATGGGCCGGCTGCCATAGCCAAATATCAAGCAGATAACGCAGTCCCAGGCAGGAACGATGGATGCAGTTCTCTTGGTCCAACTCCACACACCCTGCAAGAACTTCAGGACACAACCCTGGGTTCTCTCTTGTCTGCACTGATGCAGCACTGCGATCCACCTCAGAGACGATTTCCATTAGAGAAAGGAGTTCCTCCACCATGGTGGCCCACTGGGAATGAAGATTGGTGGCCCCAAATCGGTTTACCTAAAGATCAAGGCCCTCCACCATACAAGAAACCACATGACCTGAAGAAGGCATGGAAAGTAGGTGTTTTAACTGCTGTTATAAAGCATATGTCTCCAGATATTGCTAAGATTCGCAAGCTAGTGAGGCAGTCGAAATGCCTTCAAGATAAAATGACAGCCAAGGAAAGTGCCACCTGGCTTGCCATCATCAACCAGGAGGAGGCTTTGGCAAGAGAACTATACCCTGACTATTGTCCCCCATTATCCTCAGCTGGAGGTAGTGGATCTTTGGTCATCAATGATTGCAGTGAGTATGATGTTGAAGCGGCTGAGGATGAGCCAAACTTTGATGTGGAGGAACAGAAACCTGATAATCTTAACCAATCCAATATTGGGCTGGATAGAATGAGGGGTAGACTTCCAACTCAGCAACCTTTTCCAATCAAGGGAGAGATTGTGACAAATTTGGATTTCATTCGGAAGAGGAAGGTTCCCAATGACTTTGGCTTGATGATGAACCAGAAAATCTACACCTGTGAGCACCCACAATGCCCTTACAATGATGTTCGCCTTGCTTTTGCTGATAGGACATCCCGGGACAATCATCAATTGAATTGCCCATATAGAGGCAGTTCCTCAGATTTTGGTGGGTCAAGTTTTCATGTTAATGAGGTCAAGCCAGTTATCTTCCCTCAATCCTTTGTTCAACCCAAACCTGCTGCTCAGTCTGTTAATTTTGCTGCACCTTCACTAAATCTATCAGGGCTTGGAGTTCCTGAAGATGGCCAGAAAATGATTAGTGACCTTATGTCAGTCTATGATACGAATGTTCAAGGAAGCAACAAGAGCACAAGTTCCAGTAACCGTGTCACCGTGGAAAATCAGAATCTTTCCCCGTCCAACATTCAACAACAACACAACAATTTCTTCTCTGGTCAAGGAGTTGTTATGGAGGGAAGCTTCTTTGAAGACTCAAACATGTCCAGTAATCAGATATTTGCTCGTGAAGAAGGTCATTTTGACCGGTTCAAGGCTCTGAACTCACCGTTTGAGGCCAACAATCATATCAACAACAACAGCAATAACAACAACTTCAATTTAATGTTTGGGTCCCCTTGTGATTTGGCATCCTTTGATTTTAAGGATGATATACAAGCAGGAGTAGGAGGAATGGAATCTCTTCAGAAACAGCCAGATTTATCTTCAATATGGTATCACCAGTGAAGTGACTTTTTTTTCAAAGAACTCATGTATCATGGGACTCTCTATTTTTCCTTCAAATCATGTGAAGCTCCCGTGGCTAAGAAAAAAGTTCACTGCATTTTTCTCACGTGTAATCCATGTAGGTTTTGGCCCCAAAAAAGGAAAAACAGTCCTTGTAGGTTAGATATTATTATTGTTCTATGCTTGGCAGGTCTGGTATTATATGGGGTTAATAAACAATGGAATCTCCCATTATGTAGCCCTGTATTTTGTGTGTTTCATTATTAGTGTAGCCATGTTGTCATAATATTTTATGTATGAATGTGATATAAATAAGTTGAGTCTCTTTTCTAAATTTCAGTTTCACCACCATTGTCATGACCTGAACGTGCCATCAAGACATATTTTTGTGTAAGGTAAAGCCTCTGTATTGAGTCTAACTAACGGTTATTGTCAAACATGACTTGGTGGGCTCCATTATGTTAAAAGATGCTTTTCATTATTTGAAGCTTGTAAATAGTATCATCAGTGGACTCTACTATTTTGGTGGGTTCACTTGTTTGCATGTGAAGATTATGTATAGTGTGTTTTGTGACACACGGTTCAATGAACTCTACCTTATTTCCATTGACAGCGACCTGATGTTATTTCAGATTCGAGTATTGTCGGGTCTTCAATAAAAAAATAGTTGCCCTCTAGCAGAGCCGACCTGAATTCGAGATCTTACTCGAGGATTTTATTGAATCTCTTCTACTCAAACTATGTTTATGGGTGGAACATAGTAAAAATTGGTTGGGAAGGAGAGGCTGAGGAAGGGTATATGCTGATATGATGCCTTTTTTTTTTTTGGTTGTTGCTCGAGCATATCTGGAGGCATGTGAAATGGACCCCAGAAACAGATGGAGGAATGGGAGATGGATGCCAAGTTGAGAGATGTGTTGAGTTGCGTGATGAAGTTGAAAACTAGTGTTTGGGGGTGGTGGGGTCTTTCAGTCTTTGTGAGGGACTGGTCTCTGTCTTCTACAAAGTCCTTGGTCAATGAACCAGCAAGCTTTTTAATGTCTTTTCTTCTCTCAACTTTGATGAAATGGAAAGTGCCTTGTTCGTGAGTGGCCATGGAAAATAATGCCCTAGGCGGCTGTGTTTTTTTATTCTGATATTTCAAGTCTTTGATTTAGACTAATCTGATCAACAGTTTACCAATTTACCTCTCATCAAAAATTTAATAGTTACTAAATATCCAAAATTCGAGCTTGAGACCTCTAATTAGGGGGATTAATCTCCTAGCCACTAGAACTAAGCGCCCGGCGGTGGCTGTTTTTCTTCCTTCATATGAGGGTTGGTTTTCCTCCCCCACCACCCCACGTGTTGCTGTTGAATTTTTTTTTTCCTTCTTCTTTAGGTATGAGATTCTCCTAATTAGATGTCAAAATTCCTTCTTCTTTTTCCCCCTTTTGATATGAAAAATGCCACAAATTAGTAGATTTTTTCTGACGTTTAAAAACTTGAGTAAATTGGCTCAATGATAGTTAAAAATATATTAACTTAAAATTATGGAAGAAGTTTTTGAATATTCTGAAATGTGGCTTATTTACAATTAGTTGTGGAATAATTTTTCCTTTTTATTCTCAAAACAACTAAAAAAAAACTTGTGTGATAGAATAGCAAAATTTCTATAACTGAGTGATTATGTTCATGACCCAATTATAATCATATATCACTTTAATATTTGAACTCTTTTGAACACTTTATCATTAGCTTAGTAGGAGTAATTTATTTCAAAATTGAGAATAATAACAAAATTTTAAATTTGAGAAGAATAGGTGTTTTGTCATTTTAATTTAACTTAAATATTAATTCAGTCACATTACAAAATATTTGACATATTTGGCTATTATTTTTATTTGATCCTTTTAAATAGGTTGTATGTGCAAAAATCTCTAAAAACTTCCTGGTTGGGACGGTTTATCTTTTTGTCTTAAATATCTCCAAAATAACTAACAATATTATTTTATTCGATTTTATCTAGTAGAATAAAATTCATTGTTATATTTGGAGAAAAACTTATATATGTTTTTGGCAAGAAAAAAATAATTCCCAGTCTTTAAAAAAAAAACCTATAGAAAGATATATTGTTTACAATGCATGAACAGTGTAGTTCATGTTTGGCCAAAAAAAAAAAAACAGTGTAGTTCATGTCGAGGTTATTTAATTATCAAATTGATCTATATTTGTGTGTGTTCAAGGATTCATTAAAGTCAGGTAAATCTCATGTTCGAATAACAATTATCAATATGCTTATATATTGTTACTTGGAATTAACGCCTTTGTAAGATATGAATCATATCCTTACGTATTGGACTCGCTTTTGATTACTAACCTAATCAAATTTTTATTTGTATACATTTATCATTTTTATTTAAAGATGTCCATATCATGGTGTTTAAACCATAATGACATACTAAATAGTGCCGTCTAATTCTAACATAGAAAATATTATTATATGTGAGATGATTTGATTAAGATGATAGAATATTAAGTGCCTTCTTATCTTTATGTGTATGGTATATATTATAAGAATTATAGCTTGCATGTGCATATTGATGAGTTTAATAATAGCAAATTATTCAAAGTGTTTTGCGAGTGTCACTGAATATTTGAATTCAACAAAGTAAACAATATACTACTTTGAAAAGGACTTGTATTACATCGAATCAGAATTTATTTAAATCTGTGTCAAGACTTCTTCCCTTTTCTCTTCCTCTTTCTTCTCTCTCCTCTTTCTTCCTTCCTTTTTTTTTTTAAATATATACTTCTTCCTGATTAAATTAGGGCATTGTAATTAATTTACAATTATTAAAAATACTAATTAAAACTTTATTATATCTTTTTAATTTTATCCTCATTAAATACTTTATATAAATGATTTGATAATAATAATTAAAATTTTAATTTAACATTCTTTTCAAAAAAAAAAATAAAGCAAGAGTATAATTGAAAAATAATTATAAAAGTTAGAGAATACAATTATAAGAGTGAGGTTTTTAAAAAATATCTTATATTGTGATAAAGAGAAAGTAATTATATAGCATTAAATTTAAGCAATTAAATGTGAAGCCAGGGGCGCTCATCAGGTTTTGCATAAAGTTTTTTGATATCAAAGTCTTTGACGACCCATCTTTTTCGGTGAACTCTTATTTAACTTTATTTTGTTGCAAAATTATATATTTAGTTATCCAATTTTATATGAAAGTTAATTTAATTTTTAATTTTATAAAGTATATTTTTATATCCTAACCCTATTATCGTTAGTTTTAAATAATGATTTTTGTGTCTGCCATTGTTGTTTCAAAAATTAAACTTAATATATTGATATTTAAAGAATATTTTTCAACGTTCAAAATTGCAATGTTGGTATTTTTGTCAATGGAACCAATAATATTAGGATTAAAAAATGGGTAAATATAACTTTTGATCTCTGTACTATACTTAAATTTTATTTTTGATCTTTATACTTTTTTTTGGTGTTTCAAACCCTTCTATTTTTATTTTTCATTGTTTTCGAAAGTATAGGGTTAGTTGGTACTTTAATTTTAAAAAAGATTTCCCTTTAATTTTTTTAAGGTAAACATAACTTTTGGTCCCAATATTTTACTCATGTTTTGCTTTTAGTCTCTATACTTTTTTTTTTTTTTTAAGTCTCTATACTTTTTTTTTCATTGTTTTCAAAAAACAATAAAAAACAAAAGTGTAGGGACTTAAAATATAAAAATATATATATAGAAATCAAAAGCAAAACATGAGTAAAGTATCGAGGCCAAAAATTATGTTTACCCTAAAAAAATTAAAGGGAAATCTTTTTAAAAATTAAAGAACCAACTAACCCTATACTTTTACCTTTTTGTTTTTTTATATATTTATCTATTACTCTCTCGATTAAAAAATATAATACTGAATCTTACTCTTAATAAAATAGTTATTTATCCTTAAATTTATCCTATATTTTTATATTTATCTCTATTTAATAGGGTGTTTCACCTAAAAAAATATAAAGTCATCTATTCAATAGGAACATTTTTTTAAAAAAAAAGTAATAATTACACTTTAAAATATTAAAAATATTTTATATTTTTTAACATTCAATCCCTTAAAAATATTTTTTAACAGGAGAGTATATGATATCATTCAGAATTAAACATTGTTGAATCTAAATAAAAGGCAATTATCACAATTTGTTTTTTTATTTTCAATTCACGGTGCATGAACCATAACTTTACTGAAGGTATATCAAGTTTCATTTACTCAACCTACTTTTATATTGTCAAAATGTTTCTTCTTTCCTTTTGCTTGAAGTTCAATTTTTCTTTTTTGTCATGTGCATGGGATCTGAATTATTCAAACTTGTTTTCATGCTTTTGGTCTTGTAGTTAATCAATTTATTATCAGTTGTATCAACTAATACTGTTTGATTTTGATGATAAGGGTTATTTTAAGACTAAAAAAAATCAGTCTAACTTTCTGATGGATCTCTAACTATTGAATTGATGGGTGAAAGCAAGAGAAAATTATAATCAAAGTTTAATTAATTTTTATTTATTCTCTTCTACTGAAATATGTTTTGATAAGGAAAAAAAAAATTTATGTTATAATTACCAAAATAAAATGAGAGGAGCTAAAATATAAAATCAAGTTATATCATATATTATTACTAAAATATGTTATCCTTATTGTTTATTGAGGAAACTTTGGAACATATCATTTTTTTAATTTTTTTAATTTTTTTTTGGTCAAAAACAAGAGTTTGGAACATCTTATTTAAATGAGAAAAATTCCAATGATTGATGGTAGGCGCCATGTGTAATCTTTTACTTTAATTATTGAGCTCAAGGCTAAGAAAATGACATATTACTTAATTTGAAAATTAAAGAATATCATAAACTTGACTTTTTCTTTTATTTTTTTGTTTAAAGAACTAATAAAATCTGTGGAGAAGCACTAAAAGAAATGGTTGATAATGGTATATGTAAACTTGACATTAAAATATCTGCAATTGGTAGTTTGTTACTCATTAATTAATATAGGCATAAGATTTTAATTCGAGTTATTAAAACTTGAACTAGAAAATTTTCCCTCACTTATAAATTGTACAATCCATTATAAAATTGTTATATTTTTTTATTGATTTTAATATATGGATTGTAAGATATTTGAGGACAAGAAAACAGTGAGTCAGCAAAAATTAGCATGTCAATCTAATTTCTTAAATTTTTATTTAAGCACTTAGATGATTTATAATCTATTCATGTTGTACCGTCACTTCTCATCCACAATGTAATGCACTACTCTTTATATTAC